GTATCAATCTGGCAGCAGCAGATTTTGAGACTCTCACCCTGGACCCTTCCCAACACTGAATGTTGTGTTTTTAAAAATTTCTGTAGGGGCACCAGAGCGGCTCAGTTGGTGAAGCGTCCAACTCTTGATTTCGGCTCAGGTCATGATCTCACAGTGTGTGGGATCGAGCTTCGCGTCAGGCTCCGCACCGACAGTGCGGGGTCTGCTTGGGATTCTCTCTCTTCCTTCTCTCTCTGCCCCTCCCTCTCTCTTTATCTCTCTCAAAATAAATAAATAAACATTTAAAAAAATAAAATATTTTTGTCACTATCATGGGCCAAAAAAACAAAACAAAACAAAACAAAACACCAAAAACGGTTTTAAGCCAATTTGTAGTTCCAAGCCAGGTTTTGTCAATAAGACGTCTGCACCTTTGCTGTTCCATGGCAGACACACCATAAAGAAAGCAAGGGGGGTGGCACCTGGCTGGCTGAGTGGGTGGAGCATGCAACTTCTGATCTCAGGGTTGTAAGTTCAAGCCCCATGTTGGGGGTAGAGATTACTTTAAATCCTTTTTTTTTTTTAAGCGCTTTCTTCCTTGTCACAGCTTATTTGGGGAGAGGGGGCATTTGAGAAGGGGGGGTCCCAATGCGGGACAAGGCCCCAGGCAGTTAAATTGCAGGTATTTTTTATTTCACCCCCAGGTTTTGCCAGAGTGCTCTTGCTTGTGCTATGGGAAGATGAAGATATGGGGCCCATCTCTCCCCAGCCAACCCAGGTGGCGGCCTCTGCCTCGAACGTTTCCAAGTGACGTAGAACCCCGCAGGCCCAGAGGCCCCTGCACACTTCCTGTGTGGGGTTCTAACTCGCCTCCCCTCCCAGCCTTGGGTGCCTGCTTCAGAAAATGGTGAGTCTCCCCCTAACGAGGCCCCCTTTATCATCCCGGCATTGGGAACAATGACCTCAGGGTCCTCACCTGCAGCAGGGGGGGTTGAACAAGTCCTCCGGTTTATTTTTCAGAAGTACTAAGCCACCAGGCTCCACCCTCTTAGGCAGAATTCAGTGTCCATCCGGTGAGAGAACGATGCCATCGGGAAGCCTCTGGAGAGTTCTGGGACTCTGTCTCCTGTCAGGTAAGTAGGATGAAATGAGAAAGGGTCGTATTTCTCCAGGCTGTGGGAAGGCCCACAGCCTCCCTTGGTGATGCCCGGTGGTACCAAGGGAGCCTCATTTACCAGAAGGTATAAGGAACTATTTGTGCTATGTTAGGCTAGGGATCCAAGACGGCAGGCTAACGAAAGAGGTATGGGACGGATGCATGGGCCACCACTCAGGGAACATTTGGGATCGTAGCTATTGAAGAAAACAAAGAAGTCTCTCTGCCTCCAAGGACAGGCTTGTTCGTCAGTGAACTACCCAGCCTTTAAGAACTAACACAAAAGAGATGAGAAGAGCAGAGAGCTGAACCCGAACCGTTGGGGTTGGGGGGGGGGGGAGGTACAGCAAGGTTGGTCTCTGAGACAAAACATACCTCATAATTTTCAGTCCTTTTCAGGTGACTAAGAACTTTCGATTAATCTAGTCCTTTTTGAAGCAAGGGAGAATATAGGCAGGTAAACGGCCGAGAGCAATTCCACATCTCATAGGAGATAAGATTAAAAAAAAAAAAAAAAAAAGTTGCCATTTATTAAGTGCCAGAGACTGCCTAAAGAAAACTTCTTTACATGTATCAACTAATTTAATTCTTAGCTTCATCTTGGAAGGCGAAGGTTACATCCCCTGTTTTGTAGATGAAGAAACTGGTGTGCAGAGATGTTACATGGCTTTGTTGAAAACCGCACGGCTAGTCAGTGCTAAAGCTGACCCGGGAAGCCAGGACTGTCTGTCTAGAAGGCCTGTGGCCTTCAAGGCTACGTGATGCAAAATGGTTCACGACGGCTTTAGTTCAGAGGCCTAGAAAATGCTATCAGAGCTGGGACTCCTATCTCAGAGCCACAGCCATGGTGTCTCCGCTTCCTGCTTCACTGTGAGTTTCTCAGGCTTGAACGCTCACACAAATCACCTGGGATTCTGGAGCTCCTGCTCCAGTAGGACCAGAGTGGGGATCGCCATTCTGCCTTTCGAGGAAGCTCTTGCGTTTATAAGTCTGCTGCCGGTCCCAGGAACACATTTTGAGTGTCAAGGGGCAGGACGTGACTCCTGCAAGGAGAGGGCAGGCATTTTCTTCAAGGCTTATAATATAAACGATGCTTTCTGGGGTGGGGGTGGGGGTGAGGGATGGAAAGAGAGCGAGATGAAGTATCAAAGTCCCGGGCATCCCTAAAGATCTGGCATCACGAAAATGTGCCCAGTCGGCTCTGGGTGGGTGGAGGGGTCTCACTCGATGCTGTTGGTAAAAAAAAAAAAAAAGGGAGGCCCGGGTACACGGAGAACTTAAAGACAACACGAGGGAAGCTGGTCATCGTAATGAATCCAGGTTATTGCTGAGTGAGGAGCCCAGTGGAAGTGTGACCAGGGTCTTCAACACACAGGCTCTAACGGAGGAGTAATTGAAGTTTCAAATATCTCCATCTCTGGCTCGAGCAGAAAACAGATGGAAAAACTGAACCATCAGACAAGCGGGAGCCAGAGACGGAACAAGAATCTCAACGTGCGTACCTAAACAAAAGCTTGTTTTTCTTCCACAGTCCGATTTTCAAAAACGGAGGCTAGGCTGCAAAATTCGTTTGCTATTTCCCTGGTGGCCTGAAAAGGAGTCTCAGCTTTTTCTAACTCTTGGTCAAATATTGAGTGTTCATGTTTAACGCTAGATGCTTCTTCGCTTTGTTTCATCCCAATGGACCAGGAACTGGACACTGGTCCGTACCCAGCAGTACATGTCACTTATCTGGGGTACAGGTATGACTCTGGTCCAGGGGTGGTTCCGACATGGCCAAACCAGACCACATTACTCGTTCTGCTTGGAATTTCAGGCACCCGCAACATTGACTAACTCTTTTCTTTTTTTTTTCCTTACTTGTTTTCTAGTTGGCGCTTGGGGGCAGGAAGGTAAGAATATGCTTTCTTTCCTTGTTATGCAATCAGCCCAGCAGTCTTTGTCTTTATGAGTGGAGCTTTTGCTAGACCC